CCTTGTTCCTTATATAATCTACAACTAAAATAACTCATTGCTTATCTATCTATTTTTATAATTCATTTTTTAGTTTCTACACACGTGTGGTAAGATGGAATCACGTGGAAAAAACTTTCCATCCCCACTCTTCATCTTAAAGATATAAGTTTCTACTACTACAGCTGCTGCTACTACAGCTGCTGCTACTACAGCTGCTGCTACTACAGCTGCTGCTACTACAGCTGCTGCTACCACAGCTGCTGCTACTACAGCTGCTGCTACTACAACTGCTACTACAACTACCAATATTGATAATAAAATCTTTGGGTAAATATAGTATTTATATATATATTCGTTATTAGTTTTTTTTACATATATTATTTATTTTGGTCGTATGAAACATTTTTGAAACAACCTGTAAAATCATATTGCGGATTTTTGGAAACTTTTTCCCAATTTAATTTAATTTCGAATAAAATTAACCAAAGGTAGGCAATGTTTATTGGCTTTGAATGTAAGATTAATCGAGATTTAGATTTAAGTTTTAATCACAGTTGTTATATTTGTATGTGTGTGTGTGTGTGTGTGTACGTGTGTGTGTGTGAATGTATCTATACATACATGTATGTGTGTGAGAATATCTACGTATGTTTATGTGTGTGATTATACCTATGTATGTGTATGTGTGTGAGTTCATCTATATATGTGTTTGTGTGTGTGTGTGTTAACTCATTGGGTGTTTGTATGAGTTTGTATGTGTTTGTGTTATGTTATTATTATTATTATTGGAGAATTTATATAGCGCCCTTTTTAATTATTCAAAGGCGCTTTTTGAGCTCAGTAGAGTTGATGCATGTTGAAAAACGTTTCCAGTTACTCGCGAAATTGTTTCAATCCTGATCGACGCATACTGTCCGGTAAACTGTTCCATACTGTTTGACCTGCGACTGCATATTCACGAGTAGCTACCACCAACTGTGTCTCTGGCAACGAGTGGCCACCACCAACCGTGTCTGCGGCAACGAGTGGCCACCACCAACCGTGTCTTCGGCAACGAGTGGCCACCACCAACCGTGTCTTCGGCAACGAGTGGCCACCACCAACCGTGTCTTCGGCAACGAGTGGCCACCACCAACCGTGTCTTCGGCAACGAGTGGCCACCACCAACCGTGTCTTCGGCAACGAGTGGCCACCACCAACCGTGTCTTCGGCAACGAGTGGCCACCACCAATCGTGTCTTCGGCAACGAGTGGCCACCACCAACCGTGTCTTCGGCAACGAGTGGCCACCACCAACCGTGTCTTCGGCAACGAGTGGCCACCACCAACCGTGTCTTCGGCAACGGCAAAAAAATTTGTCGTCTGAACGTGTCGGAATACGATTAACTGCTGATGTTTTATATGACAGATTTCTAGGCAGTGTGAGCCTTAAGCTTGTAAACACCAGAATGGCGATCTTGAGTTATATTCTTTTTCTGAATGTTAGCCAACAAAGGTCAAATGGGGTGTGGCTTACCTGGTCGAACTTCAATCTGGTCGAACTACAAACCTCCAGAAATGATTTTTGCCGTTCGATTCTGAATAGACCGCAGACGATCAAACAGTCTATTGGACACTCCATGTATGTGTGTATGTGTGTGTGTGTATGTGTGTGTGTGTTTATGTTTACGTTACGTAGAAAAAATTGAAAAAGTATTGTTCTACTTTAAACTTTGGATAGCGCTAAAGAGAGCATACTCAAGTATTATTGTTATTGTTATTATTATTATTGTTGTTGTTGTTATTATTATTATTATTATTATTATTAATGTCATCTTCATCATAGTCGTCATTATCATCACTAACATCATCATGTTATCATTGCATACATCATACATTCATACATACATACATACATACATACATACATACATACATACATACATACATACATACATACATACATACATACATGTATAAACACATACATGCATACAAACAAACAAACATACACACATATATACATACAAACACACGTGCAAACAAACATTTATATATACAAACATACATGCAAACAAACAAACATAGTCGAAAGATATAAATAGCTCACATGTTAACTCGTGTATTTATCAATGTCAGCTGATAGTAATATAACGAACGAACGTCATCATCATCACCATCATCATCATCATCGCCATCGTCATGATCATCATCATCATCGTCACCATCACCACCATCATCATTATCATCGTCGTTAATAATAATGAATATAACGATGACGACGACGATGATGATGGTGACGATGGTGGTGATGATTATGATCGAGAAAAAGATGATGATAAAGACGGTGTTAGTGGTGATGATAATGATGCCGAAGAGGTTGACAGATGGAGGGAAGCGAGTTTATTAAACCCACATTGGTTGGAAGGCTGACTGGCTGACTGTGATCAAGAAGGAAAAATACTGTTGATGATGATGACGATGACGATGATAGTAGTGATTATGATGATGGTGGTGGTGATGATGATGACGATGATGATGATGAGGTTATTATTTCGTTGTCGTTGATGATGATAATGATGGTGATGTGTGTATGTGTTTTTATTTTGCGTATAAATTTTGTATGAATGGTTAATATGGATTAAAACATTAGCAAGTTTAGAAGTCTGTTTTCAGTTTGTTTACAATCAGATGATGGGGTTATGATATGTATTTGTATGTCTGTATGTTTGTTTGTATATTTTTTTTATTCGTTTGTATGTTTGTTGTCTGTGTGTACGGGTTTTTGTATTCTTTTGTATGCCTTTTGTATGTGTTATTGTGATTAATTTGTTAATGAAAATTTCAGGTTATATAACTTGTTTATCAGTGTGTTTATGTTTGTTTCATTATGAAGGATGAAAGTGTATATTAATGGGTGAATGAATGAATGTATGAATGAATGAGTTGAGTGAGTAAAAGAATAAATGAACGAATGATGGATAGATGAATGCATGAATAGATAAACACATGAATGCACGTTTAAATGAATGAATTCGGGTGAATAGATTGATGAATGAATGAATGGATGAGTGAATGAGCGAACGATCAAATAGGATGAATGAATTGTGATGCATAGATGGTTTGAAGAATTGAATGCATGAATAAACAAACTTTAAAGCCTGAAGATTTGAAGAAGAAAGATAAATAAATAAAACCACATGTAAACTGATTAGAAAATGCATGCATGAATGACTGAAAGAATGAATAAAAGAATAAATGAATGAATGAATAAATAAATGAATGAATTAATTAATCAATTAAAAAATTAGAAAACTAACGAATAAACCTTCAGAAAGAGATAATCCAACGAATAACTTCGAATAACCGTTAAATAAATGTATAATTGAATAAATTGAATAAAAAAATGAATGAATGAATGAATGAATAAACGAGAGAGGAGAACAAACAGATCAACGAAAGAATAATTGAATAAAAAATGAATAAAAAAAAGAATGAATGAGCGATGGAGGAGGCGAGCCATGAATAAAATGAAATCTCGGCGATGTAGATCTAAGAAACACGCCAAAGCCACTAACGTCCCATACAAATTATGCCTTGAAAAAGTATGCATGCGATAAAATTACACACACACACACACACGCACACACACACACACACACACACACACATACAGATATACATACTTACAAACAAACAAACATACCAACCTACATACATACATACATACATACAAACAAACATACATACATACATATATACAAACACACACATCAAACATATAAACATTCATTCATACATACATACATACATACATACATACATACATACATACATACAAACATACATACAGGTAAATGTATACAAATCACATCAATTATAAACCACGGCGAAACGTACCAATAACATCAATAGTAATAACATTAATAATAAATAC